TTTAGAGTGTTTAATGTTAAACCTTCAATCAATAAGGCATTAAAATAGGGATTTTTATTCCTATCAGTTTGATCGCTGTGCTCTCTGACGCTAATATGTTTTTTAAAAAAATATGTTTGCTATTGCCACTCTGCCTTTTTTATATTCATTTCCACCAGTACTTTAGAAGAGTCTCTATATTATTCTGCTATATTTATTTATAAAATGTACTGACCACCCAGCTTACCACAAGGTAACTCTTGTCATCTCTGCTTTACGTTGGCTTGTACAGGGCTTGCCTGCTTATGATACTCCAGAAGTCTTTGGGCTGCATCCCAATGCTGATATTACTTACCAGAGCAAACTGGCAAAAGACGTGCTAGACACCATCCTCAGCATTCAGCCCAAAGATAGCTCTAGTGGAAGTGGTGAAACCCGAGAAGCTGTGGTGGCCAGGCTAGCTGATGATATGCTGGAGAAATTACCTGCAGATTATGTGCCTTTTGAAGTAAGTTCATAAAATCTTGAGACAGGAAGCATCTGCTGCATTGGAATTGTTTTTCACTTTGTCTAACTGGAAAAAAACCTTTTTATTAATCCCACTTTAAAAAAAATATTTTCAATATACTTGTAACCTAGGTATTAAGGAATGAACTGGTAAAGCAAAAATAACAAAGAGGCGTATTGTGCTTTATGGCAAAGCAGGCCAGTTTCAAAATGGAGAGAAACACTCCATTATATTTCTTTGTTTTAATTGGCAGACATAAGTGATAAAACACACTGATATCCAAATAATGAAATCAACCAAAAAAGGCCAACTGAAAGATATTTGCTTATAAAAAATAGGTATTGCTCAAAGATTAAACTGATCTTGTCTACATTTTTACACAGCGAATAAAACAAAATAAAATAAAACAAAAATTGTTTCAAATTAATAACAAAATGAGTACTTTGGTCAGCCTTTCTGATTAACATGATCTACTGCATATGCAGTATTTTTTTCCCATTCAGTTGTGTTTAATTCTTGGAGACTACCTGGACACGATCATTTCTTTGGATTGACTTGATAGTTATATTTATAATGAGATTTATGCAATCTTCACACTTCAAAGCTTTCTATATTTTTTTAGTTTTTCCATAAAGAATTATGGATACATTAACCCTCTAAATATACTGTAATACCATTTTTATACTTGCATTTATTTTCAAATACTTTTATCACCTATGAAATAACTGATTTAGAGATATTTTTTTTAGACAACCTTCTTGTACATGATCTTAGTGTTCAAAGATTTCATGCTCCATGCATCTTTGAAAAATTCTTTCCTGTCATTTCATTTCCTCCATAGAGAATTTTATAGAGGTCAGAAGCTAATGCCTAGTGGACATGGTGGTCAGAATGCTAACTGGCATTGTATTTAAATATTCTGTATTTCATTATCTTTTTTTTTTAAAGTTTTTTTATTAATAAAACAATTAAAACAAAAAAGGACATGACATGACGTTCCAGTATATATAATCCTAACAATTCGTTCCTTATCATATTTAAAGTTCTATATATACATCTCTCTCTCTATACATATACATATATTCCCCTATATAATACAATATTATACAATCTCGAGCTTGTTTCTCTATATATTACCATATGTATTTCATTATCTTTAAATGTTCCTATCTCAGGTAAAGGAAAGGCTTCAGCAAATGGGACCATTTCAGCCAATGAACATCTTTCTGCGACAGGAAATTGATAGAATGCAAAGGATTATTGCTCTGGTGCGCAACACCTTGACAGATCTTAAACTCGCCATTGATGGAACGATAATCATGAATGAGAATCTCAGGGATGCCCTGGATTGTATGTATGATGCACGGATCCCAGAGCGCTGGAGAAAGGTTGGTATTGTTGTTTCATTAGAAGGAAAATGTTAGAGCATCATTCTTCTGAATTAACTGCCCTAATCCAATTATGTCATGTTCAAAGCACCTAAACACACCTACACAGTTACTGCTAATTAATCGATTCCTTGTAATTGAAGGCTTGTTCTCATACATTTACTTGAAAGTTCTGTTTGCATTACATGCCATTCCAGTGGGAGGTTTCTAGGCCATATAGGAATGATGTCTCATGTAGTAATTTCTCCATGCCATTTCTGTCTTAGCAATTTAGTACTTCAGAGTCTACTGGGACTTTTTTTAAAAAACAACAACATGCATTTACTTCATGAGCAGCATAATCATCTGCATCCAACAGTAATCTTTTATAGGAGTAGCTTGTTCTATTTGCCGTGTGCTATTGCAGATTTGGGTGAGAAAGGACTAGAACAGGGGTCTTCAAACTTGGCCCTTTTATGACTTGTGGACTTCAACTCCCAGAATTCCTCAGCCAGCGTGCCTGGCTGAGGAATTCTGGGAGTTGAAGTCCACAAGTCATAAAAGGGTCAAGTTTGAAGACCCCTGGACTAGAAGCTAACATGACTGAATGTTCCCTCATACAAGGAGGAGGATTTTGATTACTCTTTTCTCTGATATCTTCTCCTTAACATGGAGGAGTATTCCATCATATGAATCTTCTGAAAAATGCAGAACACAACTTAGATACTTTTACTTCTTCAACACCCAGGTTTCGAAGCATTGTACAGCCTAGTTTCTTATACCACATTTATCTCTGTTTCTAGGCATCTTGGGCTTCCAGCACCCTTGGTTTTTGGTTTACTGAATTTCTTGAAAGAAACCAGCAATTTCATTCTTGGATTTTTGAGAAACGACCAAATTGCTTTTGGATGACAGGATTCTTCAATCCCCAGGGCTTCTTAACTGCAATGAGACAGGTTAAATATCTGATTGCTATACAATTTGATCCACTTGTTTTGATTTTTATCTGAAATGAATACATGTGGAGATACCATCTATTTTCAGGAAAGCGAATGGAGTTGTCTTTGCCTTCTTAAAGAAACTAGCACTGGTATAATGAGACCTCACTTTCCTTTAACTATTTTTTTTTCATTTTCATGATTGTAACATTGCATAGAGAGTTCCAGTCTTCTTCTTCTACCCTGCAATATCGTACTAGGCTTGAAAGAGCTTGTCAATAGTAAATTATGGCAGGAAAAGATAGTCTTCGAAGGTCCAAGAACAAAGATCTGTTGTCAGGCAAATATTCTAAATCTTAAATTTCAAACTTTACTCTTACCCATGATTTCAACAAGCAGACCTTTTTAAAATCAAATATATAAAACTGCCTGTTGTACTTGAGCAACCTTCTGTCATGGCTGTCACCAGTTGTCTTTGTAGCTCACAATGGAACACAGCAACCAGCTGACTCCTGGCAGCTGCCAATGACTCCTATCATGCTAGGGAAGGAGAGCTTCCCTAATTTGGTATTCTGTGCTTCCCAGCAGCCAGTCAATTGTTCTGTACAATGGTGTGTTTTTGTGTGCATGGCTCCTGCCTATCTCCAATGGAACAGGGAGGACTCCACTGCTAAAAATATTGTCCAAATTTTAAATCTTTTTATGTCTCCTTTGCATGGTATCTTTGCTGCTTCTATGGTAGATTAAAATAATAACCAGAGAACCTGCTGCTTTTTGATTTCTAGGGAGGGAATTTGCTGACAAGAGGATATAGACATTAACTGGCTGACAGGTGGCCTCCTCTTACAAGGAGAGTGGAAGTTAGAGGTATTACAAGGAAATGTTCTAGAAATCGAAACATTAAAACCTGTTCTAGCTGGTAGTTTTTCAGAGAAAGTTGTGACTTCTGAATTTGAATTAATTTTTGACCCCTTTATAAAATACCTTTCTAAATTAGTCCCACCTTTCTGATACTTTTGATAACTGGCATATATTGGCTTTCTGAACTAGGCTTTAATATACTTTACAGCTGGTTTCCTGAGCAATAACAGCTCTGATCAGATGGTTTGACAAAATGTAATGAGTGGAGTGAGGGTCTATATAGAAAGAGAAAGAAGAAAGAAGTACAAAATGTAATGAGTTGAGTGACAAAATGCAATGAGTTGAGTCAGGACCTATAAAGAAAGAGAAATAAGAAATATGACTTAAGTATCACTTAGGGGAGTACTCACTTGTATACCTACCTATGGAAGTTATGTTAGAGAGCCAGTTTAGTGTGGTGGTTAAGACACCAGGCTAGAAACTGGGAGACTGTGAGTTCCAGTCCTATTTTGGGCATGAAACCACCTAGGTGACTTTGGACCAGTCAATTGCTCTAAGAAGCGAGCAAGAAAGACAAACCACTTCCAAAATCTTGCCAAGAAAACTGCAGGGTCTTGACCTGGCAGCTGCCAGGAGTCGTCACTGACTTGAAAGGACCAAAACTAAAAAACAAAACAAAACAAAACCCTGCTTAGTTCTCACTTGTATACATACTATAGAAATTGGTATATAATTAGAAAATCTCAGGAGAAAAAAAGAAAATATGTGACTCCATTGTATTTTCCAAGTTTTGGCTTATTTATTCTGAAACCACATTGGTTCATTGATAGTAGGAATTCTGGTCTCACTTTAACTGTTCCGTTGCTTTGAAACAGGAAATAACAAGAGCAAACAAGGGATGGGCACTTGACAGTGTAGTTCTGTGCAGTGAGGTCACAAAGTGGATGAATGATGACATATCAACTCCTCCTTCTGAAGGAGTCTATGTATATGGCCTCTACCTAGAAGGAGCTGGATGGGACAAAAGGAACATGAAACTCATTGAATCTAAACCTAAAGTGCTCTTTGAACCAATGCCTGTGATAAGAATATATGCAGAAAACAACAGTGAGTATTAAACTGAACGTGATTTTGATGATACAGTTGAAATTATTTCACAGTTTAAAATAGCCTATGGATTTTACAGATTTTGTGGCATGAAAAAAATGGAAAATGTTTGATTTTAAATGAAAATGCTTGCTCTTTTTAGTCCCTGAGGAGCAAATGCTGCCATTTTTTTAAATATAGGGTCCTGAAAAGCTTTATTTCTAGTTCTCTTTTGGGAGCAGAGATATTAAAATACTGCTTACTGAATATGTATTATTCAGTAGTATGCAAAGTGTATTCACGTTTGTATTCCTAGCAACAGCAATGCTAACCTATGTGCTTTATGGACATTAAGAAAGTATAAAGTTGTGCTAGAAAATGGCGAATTGTGTAAGAGAGGGCGTGAGTTTGATTTGAAACAATTTCTGCTAAGCCATGATACCATTTGGAAGTAGAGGAAACAAGGATTATTGGCACATTTCTAGGATTCTGCAACTGATCCTAAGTTATTCTATGAAGAAAAACATGTTAAAAAAACCTTCACAGGTCCAGCTTCAAAGTTAAGCTGGTTCTGCTACATCCATCTGCCCTTTTAGCCTTGAATTGTCATTGATTAGGTTTAGAATGTACTTGTACAATAAAGAAAAAGAGAGAGAAAAAAAGAGGTGTACAGGGACCCAGAACTCAATTTATTGAATCCCACATTCCACAAGATTTTTTTTAATTTCCTTTCTCAGTAGAAAGTTTTTATAATACCTATATAGAAAGTTTCTATAATACCTATGCAATACCTATATTTAAACAGATCCATAGAACTACTTTATTATTTCCTTTTGCCAGCTTTAGGATTGCCTTCGCAATGGATACATTCTAGGTAGAATGAAAGAGCCAAATAATATGTAAAAATGAAGAATGCTGCTGTTTGCCTGCTATATGCTCAGATGTGGCTTAAAGTGTGTTAGCCAATAAAGAGGAGACTGTAATAAAATATACATTTCTACTTCAACTTATGCTAGATCAGACTTGCTGTGTAAAACCTAATGAAACCGATGGGTGAAGAGAATAAAAAAAAACATATTTGTTCATCTGGGAAAAATCAAAACAGTGGCAAAGGATTTCTTTCCACTTAAATTATTGATTTTTAAAATGTCAATCAGCTTAAAGCCAGCTTTTTACACTTGTGAGGATTTTTTAAAACAAGGCAACAAGTTGTTACTTGGTATGTAGGTGCTCTTGTTGACAGCTGAATGTATAGGATTTGGATTTGCTTGAACAAACAAGTCAAAAGACTGAAAGTGCAACTCCAGAAGTGAAGGGAAGAACCTCTGGGATCCATGAAGGGGGGAAACAGCTGTCAGAATCAATGGTGGGCTGGAGAGACAGATTGTCGCTCTGCTTTCCAAAATTTGGTTCAGAATGTTGGCCTGAAAATAGACAGCTTTTTCTTTTAAGAAATAAAATCCCATAAGAAATAAAATGCAACTACAATAAAACTCCAAGCTTTGTAGTCCTCTCGTCTTCTTTTGGTTATTTTTGGCACAATCCGTTATTTGGTTAAATCTGTTTGTTTACCTTTGGTAAAAAGTAACTCTACACAGTGCCTATCAAGCTGATTTGCAGATCTATGAAGGGATTTATAAATTGTATCCCTGTATAAATACCTTCTCAGTTGAGAATATCATGCATGGCACAAAATATGAAGTGGTCCCATTCTACTTGGATTTCTAAGAACAGCATTTTACGAATTACGAATAACTTTATTACAGTCGTAGATCAGCAAGGCTTCTCAGCCTTTTGGCTAAGATCAAGTGTGTGTGAACAGCATTTTAAATTGCCATCCTATGGATGATCAATTCCAGGAAATAAATGAGATGAGTACATGTGTTCCTTCCCACAAGACTTTTCATGTCAGAGACAGTTAGGAAAACCTGCAGTGATCTTGTTCCTACTTAGACAATTATGAGAAATGCTTCTGGGGTAATACTGATGATCTCCATGGCATGAATGTACAGTCTCCTAATAGGGTCTGTTGTAAAATCTACATAAAACTGCAGGAATAGTTGTCCAAGAATTGACGTATCACTAATATCCAAATAAGGACCTCATCTAGAAATGAGATAATTGGACTGGCATTTGGAGAGTAATTGTAGAGAGTAAGAAAAATGACTATTATAAGATAGGCCAGATCTGTTACCAAAGTGATAAAGAGAAAAGGCCACAACAAGCAGAAAATATGCAGAAGTGGCCCAAACAAATGCCTCCCTAATTCATCTGGGTTTGGGGAGGGGGGGTACCGCACAATTAGACTTGTAAAATTCTATTATCACCACTCTTAATAAAAGTAATCTTAGCCTTTCTTTTTTTTTTTGTATAGATTTTATTAGTTTTTATAGGGTTAGAAATAAGGTGGGGTCGGGGTTGGGGTTGGGATTTGGGTTAGGGTTAGGATTAGGGTTGGGGTTGGGGTGGGGTTTTTCCAAATAACATTCTCAATATTTAGCAAACAGCATTTATTTATTTATTTATTTTATTTAATTTATATGTCGCCCTTCTCCCGACGGAACTCAGGGCGGCGCACAACATACTTAAAACCAAAACATATATACAATCCCCCCCTTAAAACCGAATTAAACCAAATTTAGAGTTGCGTCTTTCAAATTCCTAAAAAACCCAATATAAAATCCACCCTAGGTCAGGTCCGCTTGCTGAAAGAGCCATGTCTTGAGGGCGCGACGGAAGGTAAGGAGATCCGGAATTATCC